TTGCCTTTTTTTTTATCTTAGGGGGAAAAAATTCAGTCTTTCACCTGAAGAACTTTAATCTTTCTGCTTTAAAGATATTTTCTTTGTCTTTCTTTACAGCAGTTTAAATATGTTTGGGCATTGATTCTTTTGAGTTTATCTTGCTTGGGGTTTGCTGAGGTTCTTGAATCTGTAGGCTCCTGTCTTTTGCTAAGTCGGAATGTTTTCAGTTATTACGTTGTCACATATTTTTTTCTGCACCATATTTTTTCTCCTCTTCGTCTGTATCTCTAAAGACACAAATGTTAGATATTTTGTTATCTTAGGGGTTCTTATGGCTCTTTTTATTTATATCTACATTTTTCCTCTCTGTTTTTAAAATTTCTATTGATCTATCTTCAAGTTTTCTGACTCTTCCACTTCCATTCTATTGTTGTGTCTATCCAGTCACTTTTCTTTTTTTTTTACTTTAAAATTTTTTTTTTTGAGTTGGAGCCTCACTCTGTTGCCCAGACTGGAGTGCAGCGGCCGTTCCCGGCCACCGCAGCCTCGACCTGCTGGGCTCCGGCGATCCTTCTGCCTCAGCCTTCCAAGTAGCCGGAATTACAGGCATGCGATACCATGCCCAGCTGATTTTTTGATTTATTGTAGAGATGAGGTCTCGCTGCCCAGGCGGGTCTCGAACCCGCGGGCTCAGGCAATCCACTCACCTCAGACCCCCAAAGGCACGGGATTACAGGCTGAGCCACCGAGCCCGGCTACTTTAAAATTTTTAATCTTAAATATGTGGGGTACAATTCAGGGTTAAGTATACAAATGTTCATTATGCAGATACCCTTGTTGATGAGCTGTGCCCCCCCACTGGCAGTTTTCCACTACTGCCAATCCCTTTCTTATAGTATTGTGATAGTTGTTCAAGGTAGGCATATGAGTGAGAACATGTGATACTCGGTTCTTTATTTCTGTGATAGATCACTCAGTATTATAGACTCTAAGTCCATCCAAGTTGCTGTGAAGTTCATAATTTTGTCCTTCTTTATGGCTGCATAATATTCCATTGTGTATATGTACCATTTTTAAAATCCAGTCCTCTTTTGATGGGCAGCATGGCTGGTTCCATGCTTTTGCTATTGTGAATAACGCTGCAATAAACATTGTGTGTGCAGGTACCTTTTTCATAGAGTGATTTGAGTTCCTCTGGGTATGTTCCCAGTAGGGGGATTGTGGGGTTGTATGGGAGGTTGATTTTAGATCTTTTAGGAATTGCCACACCGTTTTCCACAGAGGCTGTACTAGTTTACACTCCTACCAACAGTGTAGAAGTATTCCCTTTTTGCCGCATTCTCTCCAGCATCTGTTGTTTTTTGTTATTGATGATGGCCATCCTGACTGAAGCTAGGTGGTATCTCAGCATGGCTTTAATTTGCATTACTTTGATGACTAGTGAGGCTGACTGCTTGTATGTCTTCTTTTCGAGAAGTGTCTATTCATATCTTTTGCCCACTTTGTAATGGGGCTGTTTGTTTTTTTCTTTACAGTACATTTGAGTTCCTTGCAGATCCTAGATGTTATGCCTTTGTCAGATATACAGTTGGCAAATATTTATTTCCCAGTCTGTGGGCTTTCTCCCCGCTCTCTTGATGATTTCTTTGGCTTTGCAGAAGCTTGTCAGTTTGATGAGGTCCCATTTGTCTACCTTATTTCTTATGGCATGGATATCTGGGGTTCTGATCAGGAATTATTTGCCTACTCCGATTTCTGTAAGGGTGTCTCCTGTGTTTTCTAAGATTCTTATAGTTTGAGGTTTTACGTTTAGGTCTCTGATCCATTTAGAGTTGATTTTTGTGTATGGTGATAGGTAGGGGTCCTGTTTCAATCTTCTGCATGTGGTCAGCCAGTTTTCCCAGCACCATTTACTGAATAGGTTCTCTCTCCCCAGTGGTTGTTGGTGGAGGCTTTGTCAAAGATGAGTTGGTTGAGAAATTGAGGTTTTGCTTCCAGAATCTCTATTCTTTGTTTATCTATCTCAATCTTTGGTATACTGTTTAGAATCAGATCCATATGTGGGTTGGGGGTGAACCTAGAAATTCATAAACAACTTTATGAGGTTGTTTCCTGGGCTCCTCACTCTCCACCATCTCTCTGGCACATTACAGTTCTTTGGAATTCTTCCTTTTGATCTATTGGTAAGAAATATGGGTCTTTATTTAATCCTCTCTGCCATGCACTTCCTGCAATTTCGCCCATGTCTGAGGCCAAGCAGCAGGACAAAGAGAGAAAAAGCTATCACTGAAGGTTTGCCCCCACTGTCTTGGGACCACAGTTACTCTAGAGAGGAAAGTCCTTCCCTCCCTCAGCATTTTTGGGTGGTTGAGAGTACTGTTTCCTCCATTGTCACTATTGACTCAGTTGCCACAGTGGAATTGCTCACTGGCCGAAATGCAAGAGAATGAAGAAAAGAAAAAAATTGGCACATTTTTCCTATTTTTTCTGAACATTAGGAGATCTATTTCCTGCTCTCCCTGGAACTCTCTATCCCTGTTGATGCCCCCTTCTGTTTTTTGGGTTGCCTTGAGTCCAGTCCAGGAGACTGGAGGGGGAAAAATGGTAAACTCACTGCCAGTTCAGTTTTACTTCAAATCCTGGTGTTTCCCCTCAACTTACCTGGTACAATTTACTTTTCAGAACCCTCAATTAGCCGCTGTATGCATTCTGTTTAGGTTTTATAGCTGCATTCAGTGGGAGACAATGGTTTGAATGTGATCATTCTGTGTTAACTGAAATCAGAACCCCTGGACTGTATAGGTTAGTTTTCATATATAAATATATATAGATAATGAAGTGCTTTATTTAGTGTATGTCTGTGAATAATTGGGACTAATCTTTTCATACTCTACTTGAGACAACTACTTTATATGATAAGTACTCTTCTGTTGCTGTGGAAGAAATCACTCTCAAACTTAGTAGCTTAAAATAACATGAATTATTTGATTATATTACAGTTGCAGATGTTGAGTGGGCTCAGCTAGGTGGTTCTTGGTTAGGGCCTCTTATATGGCTATAGTGAGATGGTGGCTGGGAATGAAATCATTCGAAGGCTCATTCATTCACATGAGAATGTATGGCATTTGGGCTGGGAATACTCAAAAAGTTGGGGCTCCTGTGGCATCTACCTCTATTGCGACATGATCTCTCTACATGGTTTCTCCAGCATGGCAGCTTCAAGGAAGCTACATTTCTTAAATAGCCTCAGGGCTCCAAAGTGAGAAGAGAGTGAGAGTGAGACCCAGACAGTGAAAGAGAGAGTGTGTGTGTGAGACAGGAAGGAGCTTGATTGCCTTTTATGATCTAGTTTTATAAGTCACATAGTCTCCATTGCCACATTCTATCATTTGAGGCAGTCCTAAAGGTCCACTGAGGTTCAAGGGGAAGAAACACAGATGCCACTTCTTGATTGGGGGTGGTCCTGGGATTGCAAATATGGTTGTGGCCATTTTTTGGAAAATACAATCTGTCAGGTACTAAGAAGTCCATATTTTAAGGTAGCTCCTGAGTTGCCCTCAGTGTGATCTATAGAAAGGAGTTCTGTCTTTGACTACTGGTAACCTATATGACCAACATGGTCAGTTTTCAGCAAAAATGGATTTTGGTGAGTCTCCAGAAATTAGGTCAAATTTTTCCATGTAACCTTCTTTGTGACAATCCAGGTTTTTACAATTTCATTGGAAATCTGCATGGAGCTTCAAGGTATATGGATGTTTACAGGGGTTGAGTGATTGCCTAGAGGAGTAGGGAAAGAGGCTAGCTAAAATCTAGATGAAGAGATTTCCTTGCTGTAAAGAAGGCTCTAAGCAGGTTTCGCAAGAGTGTTCGCCTACAGGAGAGCTAGGAAGGTTGCAATGCTCCTATGTGCTTTCCTATCTAGTGCTATGCTTGCCCTATTACACCTTTTGGTTAAGCATTTTCTTCTTCAATGAATCCTCTTACAAACGCAAACTTCTCTGGGAGAGAAAACATGGACAGTTGGTAGGGATTTCAAAGTGGTTCAATAAACACATGAGCACAGAGCTAAGCACTGGGAGTTCAGTGATTAATTTAATATCATTTCTTCCTTCACCAGAGGAACAAGGTGGATTGAAACATTTTACTTCCTGAGGATTTGTTTCAAGAAGTTTCATCCTTCAGAGTCCACTTCATAATTTTGTTCAGAGGTGGGCTTGGTCCTAAGACTCATACAAAGCCTCCCTGGGCTACCAGGAGGGAAGCATAAAAGGGTCATCGGTAATATCCCCCACTCCCCCCAGGCCTAGATCCTGCTCATCTTCCAGGAGTGGCAAGTGTTCAGTTCTATCTGGTTCAGTCCTCTTCTCCAAGGGGATTAGTAGCATACCCCAGAACAAGAAGTCAGTCTATTCCCCAAGTGATGAAGAAGATATTTCAACGTGCTCCTTAGATTCCAACTCCTTACAGGTTCTCCCATTGAGCCAGACTAGGGAAGAATTTTGAACGAAGCCTAGCGGATTCTGAGGAGTCCCGAGAGCTGGAAAGTAACTAGAGAGAATAGGAAAGAGAGGTGCAGGGGCTAACGTGGCTTCGCGGCTCCTCGGTTCCCTCGGAGCCCCCACTTTAGGGGGCCCAGGGCGGCTACGCCCTGGCCTAAGGTCAAACACGGCGGTGGCGTCAGAAAAAGAACTCCAGTCCGCACAGCGAGCGAATCCAAGCTGAAGCTCCTGCCAGGCGCGGGCGACCTCTGGCGTCCCGTTTAGGAAGCGCGACGGCGACTGCCCATGAATTGGCTCTGCGACCCCAGCCTGGCCAGGTGCGCTAGGACAGGGTGAGGAGCGCAGGGAGGCCAGGGGCCGGCGGCCGGCCCGCGGGTCCGAAGGCAACAGCCAGCCCCGCCTCGGTGGCTCCGTCGGCCGGCGGCGCGGCGCGGTCGAGGGACGAACAGGTGCGCGGGCGGGGGGCGGCGCTTGGGGATCCTGCGTACTGCGTGCGCCCCTCCCCCGCGCGCGGCTCTCGGCGCAGCCCGGGCCCCGGCGCGAGCAGGAGGCGGAGCTGCGCTGGCCGCGGCCGCTCGGGCAGGTCGGCGGTCCCCTCCGGAGCCCTCCGACGGCGCGGGCTGCTAGTCCCGGCGCGGAGGAGGCGCGGGCTGCCCTGGGGCCATGGAGCCTGGTGAGGCGGCGCGCCCCAGCCCGGGGCGGGCTGTCCGGGCGCTGCCGCCACGGCTGCTGCTGCTGCCGCTGCTGCTGGGTCGGGGGCTGCAAGCCGCGGCCGCGGCCTCCTCCTCTGGGGCGGCGGCCGAGGACAGCAGCGCCATGGAGGAGCTCGCCACCGAGAAGGAGGCGGAGGAGAGCCACCGACAAGACAGCGTGAGTCTGCTCACCTTCATCCTGCTGCTCACGCTCACCATCCTCACCATCTGGCTCTTCAAGCACGGCCGGGTGCGCTTCTTGCACGAGACCGGGCTGGCCATGATCTATGGTGAGCACCCCTATCCGCACCCACCACCCCCCACACCCCTCAGGCGGCCGGGCCGCTACGCTTCTCCTGGCGCCGCGCCGTGCTCCCCCTTTACTTGCCAACGTGTTTCGTTTCTTTAATGTTTCCCGCTGCGACGGTGTTGGTTCCCAAGGTCAAGTGTCTGCATTTTCTGGCTTTCTACTACCGTTAAGAAAAATTCCATCTCATTTTGACGTTTCTTCACTGGGAACCCTGGAAAATGAAAGACTCAGAGGTGGCCCGGTTCGTCTACTCAGTTCTGTCTCTGTTGCACCCCCCTCCCATCCCAGTTCATCTCGATAGGGTGTGTGCAGGGGCTAGAGTGGGTGACTTTCCAGGGGACCGCGTCACCCCAGGGGAAAGGCCACAGTGGGGAGTGGGGCCGAAGGCTGAAAGTGTCTCAGCTTGGGTATCGGTTGGGGGGACCTCTTGGGCGCCATCTCCCTGGCCAGCCTGGGTTGATGTCCACTTCTGAGGTCTATGTTCCCTGGTCTCTTATTAATAAAGTCAGGGTATGGAGTGCTGCGAAAGGTGAGCAGTGGTCCAAGACCCAGAGTGGTGACCACCATGTCAGGCCTAGATGGGGAGATAAGCACGCCTCCTGCTCTTGTGTCCCAAGAGGGAAGTTATACCCAGTTACATGCTTTCTCAAGCGAAGAGGAGCTTTTACATTACTAAGATAGTAACATGGAGTGACTTTGAGATACGTTTCTTAGTGTATGAAGAGAAAAAATAGTGATTTTAATTCTGGAGTCAGCCATCTTTTGTTGTTAAAGGGTGGACTAATGCCACCATTCTTTTCTGGATTTAGTGGTACACAGTGCGTTATATGCTCAGTAATCAGTACAAACCTCTCATTATTACATGGATGTCAGTTAGCCATAATCTGAGTCATCCCTCTTCCTCTTCTGTGCCCCCTACCTCCCTTCCCCCAATGACTTCAAACTGGAACCAAGTATTCTCTTTCAGAATCTAATTCAGTGGGTGCTAAAGCCCATGTTGGCATTCTCAAGTAGATGAGGCACTTCATGACTGTTCCCGGTAGGCAAGGTTTTACAAGAGGAGACCCCCCCAAAATCATAATTTATTTATAAAAAATTGTGTATTCTTACACGATTAAACTTACATGTTTAATCTTCCTTTATACAGTACACCTAATCAAGATGCTTTTTCCACTGCTCAAAACAGTTTTTGAACTCATCAATTTTGAGGCCTTTTAGTGCTTCTGCTGTTTTTTGTTTTACCTCTTCTACAAAAGCAAAACGTTTCCCTTTGTGGACTTTTTTTCATCTGGGGAAACAAACAAACAAAAGTTACTCAGCCGAGATTGGGTGAGTAGGGAGGGTGGGGTATGGGAGTCATGCTGTTTTTGGTCAAAAACTGCTGCATGTTGGCTCAGCACAGTGTGGGCAGGGGCACTCGTAAATCACCCATCAGGATATGGGCAAACGCATTGAAAAGAATCTCCAAAACAAAAATCACTGAAACCAAAGCAGTCTCTCACAACAACGCTAGCTAGTATACTGATGCTGATGGGTTCTTAGAACATTTACCTAGTGCGGACAGCCTGTACTACAAGGGGCCCGTCCTCCAAAAAATAATTCTGGATTTTTTTTGAGTTGGCCCTTGTACTATAACACTTATACTGAAGGGATCTCTTCAATTTCCTTCCAGGGTTCCCTGATAGAGAATGGAAAGCAAAAACCTTAGCCTTTCATGTGAAAATTACCCTTGGTCCTGGGCCTTGGCTCTCATGGTTCTTGATTTGTTGTTGACAGTCAGGGCTCATGGCCACAAGGCCTTCACGAGAGAAACTGTAAGGAACAAGTACTATTAAGAATCCTCCAGTTTTGAAGAAGTAGTGACCTAAACAGATTTTGAATTGAAACAGGACCAGGTCTAAAACTGAGTCTGGTTATTGCAAATTATAGATCTTCATACAGACTTTAGCTTCCATACCTGACTGTTCTTGAACTCTGTGATTTGTGTTATTTGGAGGCAAATGACTGATGCCAGGCCTGGAGGTAAGCTGGGAGGTTTCCTGAGTAGATAGTGAGTAGGGAATTGAAACATGTGGTCTTTTCAGGCAATTGACTCTGAGCCATGATACAAATGAAGGTTGCCTTTATTTGTATATAAATAGCTATGAAAATATTTTTATTTATTAGTCACCAGACCCAGTTCCTTAAAGGACAATGTAAAATAGGAGATAAATTTGACAGACTCACAAATACACACTCAAGGGATGGAGCAAAACAGTGATTTAGAAATATATTTTCTGGAGAATACTCCATGATCTTAGGAGTTCAACCACCTTTATCTTAAGGCTTAAAAACAAGAGTAGAATTTTCCTTTGTTGATATGCACTTTAAAAACTCACCTCAATATTTCAGTCATTTGTGCATGCTACAATGTATTCTTTTATTTTGTGAACAATCATGTTACAAATCTAGTTTGATTAATGATTGTTCAGAAAAGGCAACATCAGCCGGGCTTGGTGGCTCAGCCTGTAATCCCGCGCCTTTGGGAGGCTGAGGTGAGTGGATTGCCTGAGCCTGCGGGTTCGAGACCCGCCTGGGCAGTGAGACCTCCTCTCTACAATACATAAAAAAATCAGAGCCGGGCTCGGTGGCTCAGCCTGTAATCCCGCGCCTTTGGGAGGCTGAGGTGAGTGGATTGCATGAGTCCGCGGGTTC